GAATATTATTTGTTTGAAAGATTTTTAGGGAGAAGAATTTTTAAGAGAAAGACTTTTTAAGAATTTGTGCTTAGTAATGAAAGAAATCCCCAAGGAAATCTGGTATATTCCTCTAAGTCAATATGTAAAAACTTTATGTAAGTCAATCACAAAAACACTAAAACTAAAATAGAAAAATAAGCAAAGTACATCAATAGACAACTTGCAGAAAAAGAAATCTAAATGCCTACTAAATACATGGAAAATATTTTAACTATCCGATTCTATAATCAAAGAGATGAAAGTTATAATTAGTTTCATTTCTTTTTTGGCCTACAAATGTAGATGAGATGAGAAAGGGAGTCATAGTGTTGGCAATGTGGCAGAACTTAATCAAGAACTTAAAAATGTTCATATCCTTAGACTATTCATTCCACGATTATAAATATAATTTGAGGAAATAATCCAAGAGGTTGTAAATAGAGATTCATTGCATGTATTTTGGGGGCTCCTTTTTCTTCCCCAACATATACTGAAACAGCAGAGAGCCCCCAATATTCGTTTTGTGCAACATGACTCTGATACTCTGACCACAGCTGATTAGATGGGGCATGTGTGCCTGACCCAAGCTGTGCGAGGACCCCCTTTCCAGGGTTTCTGGCCTCACTTCTGGCAGCTCTCCTCAGTGGAAACAATTGAAATGTGAGAGCTTGCTCTGCCATGTTACTGTCATGTAGTTTTACACTTAGAGAAAGCCCTTCTTTAGCGTGAGAAAAAAATGGAGCACAATCACAGCAAGGGACAGAGACAAAAAAAAGATCCGAGGGCTTTCCTGTCCTGCTGCTAGTTCCCGCTTACTGAGGCTAAGTGCATCCCTGCCCAGAATTCTAATAACAGTTTCCCCGTTTTGCTTATACTGGCTCCCTCCCATGAGTCCCTGGTAAGGCTCCTGCTGCTTTGACTCAAGAGAGAGAACCCCAGGTTTTGCCCTTAACCTCAATACCCCAGCACGCAGAGAATGGGTGCAGTGCGTGGGGGGAGGGAGAGGGAACAGAGGGGGCAGGAAGGGGAGGAGGGACATGAGTATCCTAATTTCCAACTCTGAAGGTCTACCAAGGAGGATAAGAAGGAATAGAAGGAAGGATGAAATACTGATTGAGCACTTACAAATAAAATGAAAATAATCTATGTGACTCACTTTAGATAGATCCTGGCCCATGGTAAAGAATACTTTAAACAAACAAACAAACAAACAAACAAAAAAACAGGTGCCAAG